GTGTAGACCTAATAGAAAGAAAACTGACAAAATTAAAAATTACTGTTATAATAAATTATGACTAACAGAACAGCAGCAAGCAACGGACAGCCTGGTGTTTCGGTGACCACAGCAAACAACACACATACTGTAAAACCTACTTGCCAACTTAACAGCTGTCTACATGGAAGAGATGTTTTTACATCTCTACCATTAAGTTTGTAACAACCAACAATAATGGGTTAAACCGGATTAAGATAACAGGTTAGCAACTGAAACAGAACCAAAAAGGTTAAAGGCACACATTCTGTAAAGCCAGACGCCGATGGCTTATACCTTTTTAGCAGCATAGTGCTCTGGTGTCTGAAAGAAATGTTGGATACAGTCACATGCAATCACAACTGCTGGTTACTGGCTGCAATGACTCAACCAAATAAAGTTACTTTATTTTGGAGTTACTGTACAAATAACAGGAATTCTATTTATGTATACAACTGACTGACTTTTGTTTAATTAGAGAATGTCTCAGATTTAACTAGTAAAAGCTTAGATTTCCAAAAACGAACCATGCACCTGCAGGAAATGTCACACTTCTGTCCAATATAACATGTTGTAAACATACCAGCAGTGTTTTTTTCCATCAACTGAATTTGTTTACAATACAGTATGTTAGATTCAAACAAAAATAGTTACTTGAAGCATCCAAGATCAAGCCATTTTCATAAAATAAGTCAAACATTTCCCGATGAATCTATCCATCCTTACAACAAATTAAAAGGTTACTTAGAATCACTATGTATCGTGTGTATTCAGTGTGTCTTGAATCATTTTTAAGGGTCTTCAGAAGTTCCTCACAGCAATACTGACCTGTTGCCTTTCCAACTTCTTGGCAAGTTTCTTTAAAACGTCTGGGTTGTCCACTTGAATGTGTTCAGGGAGCCTCTTCACCACTGAAAATGCAAAGAGTGTTAATATTCTCCAGTTTGCTGACGAGCCAAAAAATTCTGCTGGTCGTTTGGGAGATGCTAAATAGCTGTACTGCGAAGCAGGATTTTATGTTATCCAGGTATTTGCACTGTCAAATTTGAACAAAGACTAAGGCTACATTCACACGTACAAGGGTATTTTTGGAATCTGAGATTTTCCGTTTTTAAAAAAAATCCCGTCCACACGTGCAGTTTTAAAAAATATCTCCATTCACATGTAAATAGGCTAAACTTTATCAAGTCTTGTCTAGCCTTACTGACCAAAGCACTTAAAGCTTACACTTTTGATATATTATTACGTTACAGTCATTTTCCCCTCTTACACACTCATATTGATTGTCTGTCTGCAGCAGCTGTATTGCTTTCAGTCTGTATTACATGTTTAATGTCTTCATATTTTCCCATATTTCTGTACAGGTTCACCTTCCAAAATCAGTCGCTCTACTGCTGATACACTTATTACCATTGCCACCGATATCACATGACCTTGACCTTTACATTTAACACTTCACTGGCACCAAAACCTTGCTGGTGAAGTTACCACCAGTCAGTCTTGTTTCAGCATATTTCCCTGCAGCCAATCATGAGGCCAACGTTTGACCCTACAACAATCACTGATCACTGTTAGTCTGTATTTATCACAGCCAGCTTCTGTGTTGGCAAAAACAGCTTCTCAAAGTTCTACAGGTAGCTGTCTGTTGTTCTGACTTGATTATTTTGAGTTAGATTATCCAAAAGATAAAACTGAACGCGCAAATGTTAGGTGCAACAGCAGTACCTGGCTGCAGATCACTGGGCGGAGCTTTTGGTTTGCTCGTGGCTGCCTGCTGTCCTGTCTCTCCCTTCTTGGTCTGTTTGCTGGCCCTCTCAGCCTCTTGCCGAGCTCTCCTCTCAGCTTTCAGCTCCGCTTTAGTCTTTGTTGGCTTGTCCGCCGGCACAGAAGCCTCCGAGGCAGGCACAGAAACAGGTGCAGTAGCAGGCACTGCTGAAGGAGCTGACAAAGACCATAACAGACACAGATGTTAGGATAAAGAATGAATCACACTGTGCACCCAGATACAACAACACTTGCTGCTGCCTAAATGGGAGGCACCTTTCTGCACTGTGGGTTGTGTCGGGGGCTGGGATGCTGGAGCTGCTGAAGTGACCGGCTTCTTCTCCTTCTCATTTTCCTGTGATGCCTTGTCATCTTTTTTCTCTTTGATTTTTTTCTGCTGTTTCTTCTCTTTCCTCAGCCGTTGCTTTTCCTCCTTGGTTAGGTCTTTGCCTTCACTCTGTCACGTGACAGGAAGAGGCGTCAAGAAAAACCTAACTATTAAGGAAAGCATTTATCCACACAAAAGGCTGTAATAAATTTCAAGAAAACACCTAGACTAACCTTTGCGCGTTCGATTTCATCTTTCCTCCCGGGTCCGTCTGTAAGACGAGCAACAGAGGATGATAATATTAGGTTATTTAGCATTATAACGTAGTTCTGTTACTTTTTCCACAAGAGGCGGTGATATTAAGGTCGAGTCTGTTAGCTGCTTTTAGTTTGCACCGTGTCAACGAAATCAGTAACAAAACAAGTGTAGTGCATCATCGTCACAGCACAGTGACAACTAGAAACATGAGTATTGTACATTTTAAAACTACTCGAAAAGATGATGCAATACATTCTCTGTCTACGGCATGAGTACCGTTTACATGCTCTCGACGCTAACGTTAGCAGGTCTAGCATCTGGGAAATTAACTTTGCTACCAGCTAATAACAAAGTCTACATAATAAGCGCTGTGAGTATGAGATACTTCTTCGTAACTCCTGCAACTAAAGAATAAGAACCAAAAGGAAAAACCAAATGAACTACAGCTATTTACACACTCTGAAACCCACCTATCACTCCACTGTCAGCCATGTTTACGATGCTGCTTCACCTCCTCTTCTGCTGTAGAAACTACTACCATAGAAACGTATATCGCCCCCTGGTGGATGACGTTGTATGTTGATGAGTATGTGCACATTAATATTAAGCATATTGATTTGCTCTCCTGATATTTAGACTATAGTATTGATATTTTAATCTTTGCCTTATGCCCATTAAACATTAATACTATTTTCCAAATAGTATTAATGTTTAATGGGTGTTATTAAGGCTCACTCAGTGACATACTGTTATTTATTTTATGTTTAGATGTGATTCTAAAGGCCGAACTTGCTACATCAACAAAAATAAAATAAAATCTAAAACTATTAAACTTCCTACATCATTAAGTAGCCTACTGTGAAAAAGTCTTGAGCATTCCCTTATTTCTTTAAACAAAAAATCTTTTGAGTATTATACATATGAACATTACAAGGGGAAATAAATAAATAGTGTTATGTATATACAGTTTTGGTTACTGCACGTAGAATTAAGTACTGCACAGTGATTGCACAGTAGAGGGAATCACTGTGCAATACATAGAGGGAATATTGAATATTGAAGTGAATATTGGAATATTGATCTGGTCAGTTAAGTAGCAGAGGGGGTTGTTGATCAGTTTTATCTGTTTTGGTGTGAATAAATTCACAACAGGTGCACTAGAGAGAAAACAATGAGACACCCCCATAACACTAATTATTTTACAGATGGAGGCCACTAACCTTTTTTCCAATTCTGGCATTGAAATGTCACATTGCCAGAAGGCTTGATGTGTCTCCTTACACAGTCTCAGCAGCAAGGAAGAGATTCCAAGAGACAGGCAGTCACTCTAGGAGAACTGGACGAGGTCGTGGAGGTCCTTAACCCACCAACAGAACTGGTATATGCTCCTTTGTCTAACAAGGAACAGGGTGAAATGAACTACAAACTACAACCGGACTGATTAGGAATGTTATTTTGGTGACTTTGCTGTAATGATAAGGGCAAAGGTTCATAATGAAAATCCATCCATCCATCCATCCATTGGGTAGGAGATATGTAAACCCTGGACAGATTGCCTGTCTATTCCTGATTAAAATGCTGACGTTAAATATCAGTTTACTGTCTATATTATGATCCAGTGAATTACAACTTCAGCATCCTGGCTTTTGGTCAGTGATTTCAATAACAGCAGCAGATTTAGCTGGTTTTGACAAAAGGTTTGAAGTGAAAAAGTTGGTAAGGGATGTGCAGCGCTGTTCTTTGTATGCTTATTTGCATCCCCATTACATCTGCATGCTTAGAGGAAGTTTATTTTCATGGAGACAGCTGGAGTGTCATTTTTGTGTGTATATTATCCTCCATCACAAAATAGACTGAAGACAGATTTTATTGTCCCACATTGTAGGAAATTTGGATCAGGTTTCCACCCAGGCTGTATTTATAAAAAATGTTTAAACACACATGAAATATGAGTGAAACAAGAACAAAAATACACAGACATAAGCATATGTGCTATTTATAGACCTATACAGTAGAGTGCAAAATAACTGTAAAATTCATGCAAACACTAAAAGTAAAAAGATCTGTCATTTTTTATTGATACATCCCTACCTCATCATTTAAAACTGAGCTTGAAGTTGGGATAAAAGAGATTTATTCTAGCTCTAGTCAGGCAGCACAGTGATATTCTAAACCTCCGAGTGGTACTTGGTGTGTAGCTCATATAGCGCAGGGTTATTAGATTGTTGGCTTGCCTCTGCACAGCCTGTTTGTAAATAGTCTGCAGGCATGTGTACACTCCACACCCACACAGAAGGCAACCTAGCTAGAAACAGCATATTACTGTATATATACATCATGCGTGCTATCCATGGTACTGAATTCTCTGGCCCGGACTGTAATATTAGCTTTTCCCATCTATTCTACAGTGTCTATCCCTGCACTGCTACACCTGCGTTCTTTTTCTGTTTAAATAATTTACTAAGTTATACTTTGCTGCCATTTTAGGCCTCATATTTATATCATCTCATACTGGGTCAGAGTCTATTCTGCAGAATAAGGTGGACTCAACTGCTAGACTTAATGTATCGTTGTGTTTTTCCTCGAGTACACAATGGACTGAACGTGAATCAGAAGAACAGGAATTCAACACTGTACATCATCAGTGATCTTTTATTTGGTTTCTAGTCACATATTACCATGGACAATCAACATAGTGCTCCTAAAGAAGATTCACGTTGCATCTGTGCTGTAAAATCTATTCTATTCACCACCTCCAGATTAAGCAGCGCTACACCACAACGTCACTGCGTGTTTGACTCCCAGCCGGTGTGTGCTGACTGAATTCACGGCGCAGTAGCTGGTTGAAGGGGACCAAACCTCACAGAAACACCTGACTTGGTTCCGTTTGACCAGCCACAGCAAGGCGTGTTGCTTCAGCTGCGAGTGGCAGAGCAAGAGGCAGAGCAGGAGGGGAGGGGCAGTCAGGAGGAAAGGTTACAGGGGTAAAGGTCACGGAAAAAGAGGGACATGAGAAAGACGGTAGGAGATGGACATCATCTGCAGGCAGTAAGGGCTGCTGAATCCTCTTCAGTCTTACCTGATGGAACACACAGAGAGAGAAAAGGAGAAGTTACAGCACAGGAACAAGTGCCTCCGTGTTACCAAGCAAATAGTTCCTATTTAGAGGCTTGAGAACTCTGACAGCCGGTGACATCTCTCCGTTTCCTTCCAAATCCAGCCCACGGCAGTGAACTTTCACCCTCAGTGACAGCTCCTGCATCTCTGCCCTTCCCTCCCCTCTTCCCTTTTTGAGAGCTCTGCGGTTGCTATAATGGGTGACAGCTGTGCTCTGTCAATCCTCCTTGACTGTCAGCAGTTGGGGCAGGGCAGGAATTTTTCAAGAAGTCCCTGAGACCCGATCAGCGGCCCTGGGAGTAATGCTAACTGCACACGTGCCTGAGCTGAAGGAGAGGGAACAGGCCTTTCACCTGTTGTCCTGCCACACACACACACACACACACACACACACACACACACACACACACACACACACACACACATGGTCATGAACTCTGACACCCCCCAAATGGTAAATGGCCTGTATTTGTATAGCTCTTTACACAACACACACACACACACACACACACACACACACACACACACACACACACACACACACACACACACACACACACACACACATATAAAGTAGACAGACACCCTCACACAATTTTCTGAATGAAGACAAATGAAAGGACAATATGAGAAATGTCGACGTCGATGCTCAGGTCCCCTTGAAACCACACACTTCCTTACATTCCATAAGTGGCGTATTAATATGGGGATATAAGGAAGCATGTGCTCACAAGGGACAACAACTGGATTCGCTGCTCCTCGAGACACAAAGCACCCTTTCATAGCCACGCGTGAAGAGTAGCGGGAAGAACCGGCTTAACAGCGGTTAACTGTGACAGAGTGAGTGAGTGAATAAAGGAATAATGGAGCATGAGAGGCACAGAATGGTGGCTTCTATCATCTCCATGAAGCTAGAAGCAATTTGTATGGGTTAAACCTGACCATTGTTTTATTAGACAAATAAAAAGTGAATTTTCTGACACTGACAGATGACGGGACTGATCATACTGGCAGATACTTGATGGATAATGCCAGTGTGATGCTGCTGAAATGAGTTTAAATAACTCAGGCGGGTGAGGCAAATACCGGTTCCCATCAAACAAAGGTCATCGTCCTTTTTTTATTTCCCAAACATCGTGCCATGCCAAGTCAACGTGATGCCGACAGTTGTGTCAAGTGATCCTTAAAAGCGGAAAAAATTCAATTCATTTTAATTGCAACCCCTTATTAAAATAGCTTGAGCTGATTTTTAAAAAAATGCGTTTTACTCACCTTCGTCTGGTCTCCTTGCGCCTCCTCTTGTGGTTTTCTCACGGTGAGTAAATGGGGTTAAGATGAAGGCCTCAGTCCACCTCTCCTTCACAAGTGGTGACTTCCTTGATAAATCTAAACACTTCTGAACCAAATGGCCACCAGAAAGTCTGTCTCGTCTACTGTAATTAGACTAGGACGACTCCTCTGAGAGGCACCAGATTTCCTGATTCTTTCCTGCATCACATCTCAGCTTCCCCTCACCTGACACAACTGGCTGCCATGTTGTGCTGTGTCTTCAGTAAAAGTGAGAGAAAGCTGGTTTGATACCAGATTTTTACTCATATTGTGCTGAAGTTAAGCTGAAACCACACAAGCACAGTAACCCGAAGATTCTGTTGCCTGACATATGACTTTGTCTCTTCCTGCGCTGTGAACTAAAGTTTTAGAAGGAGAAATCACAGGAGTGATTCAAAAACAGACAAAACTCAGACCAACCTTACTCCTCATCCCTGAAGTTGTCCTCTGCCTTTTATCCACCCTTTAAAGCCAAGCTCATGAAACTAACCCTCCGCTTTCTGAGAACCACTCCCCGGCTTCACCCTCAGCTCTCCTGTGATCACCCATCCTCCTCTGTATCTGGTCAGTGGATTGTGCCCACAGCAGGCCTTGCAGATCGGCCTTTTCTATGGCTCCAGGAGCGGCCCCCTCCAATGCGGCCTCCCACCTGTTGGTGTCCTTTAGAAGCCCGGGCCTCTCCTGCGCCTCCTGTCCGGCCCAATCAGCGCTTTGACAGAGGGGAGCCAGCCTGTGAAATCACACCTCTCAGCTGTTCACACTGGGCTCGAGACATCCTACACCCCTGCCGTTCCTCTGTTCAGGCCCCCCCCACCCCACCCTGCCTCTATTTTACACCGAATGTCAATGGCTCCTTTTTGGATAAAAAAAAAAGAAAGGGAAAGAAAAAAGAAAAGAAAAGGGGATACAGGGAGAAACAAGGAAGCAACTGCAAGAGGGGCGTGTTTTACTGGGTCTGGGGGTACAGTCAGAGCAGCAGTTACGGCAGGCCGTGAGTCACAGCCGAAGCCAAGGTTGAGTTTCAGCCCTCTTTGGCTTCTTTGATTCACTTTAGCTTCATTGCATCGTTTACCGGGGAGGAAAAAGTGACGTATGTGCTTATCAAGTTCACAAAATAACATTTCAGGCCCCTTTATGCGGTGATTCGGGCAACTGAAACAGGTCCCTTTGGGAGACATCACATGATAAGAAGCCTGTATGCTTCACAGTGCACCAAATGTGGCAAATGCTTTGACAAACTGTAAAGTAAACCTCTGTCCACGAAGCATGGCCAGTAGGATATATAGGTGCTCCTGTGGCATCATAAAAAGAAAGCAATAAATTCTTCAGTGGCCACAAGATGACCATTCTGCCACCATGACTCTTAGAACGCAAGCACTCGATGTGAAATGAGCCACTTTAGGAGGCAAAAATCCAAAGCCTGGAAGAATATGTCTTTTCTCAGGATACGTGCTGCCATATAGAATGACAGGTCTGAAGGTGTGACAGCGCTGAAGCATCTACACGCACTGATCACCAGCAGTGTAGAGGCAAACAGACCCAGGCTCAGGGGGTTCATTTTCCTCTGCAGCAAGCACAAGCTGCTCCACTAAGGTCAACACCTGTGTTCTAAAATCAGCGCCGGGGTTGGGTGTGATAGGAACCCGGGCCTCATTCACAGAAAGCTCAAGCTCAGAGAGAGGGGCTTATATTGAAACCTAACGCTCTCGCTATTTTCGAGGCACTTGCCGTCCACAAATAGCAACCTGGCTGCATCTTTGTGGCTCCCGTTTTTTTTTTTCACCCCACAGGATGTTGTCTAAATTCGACAGTTGTTCAATATTTCCCATGGCGCCGAGCCAGGGTGTATCACAAATGCAACATTTCCACTAATGCCAGCGATGTGCCACGGCCTTGCTTGTTACATCTGAGCGCTTGGAATATCAGATGACTTTTGTTGCTGAGTGAATTCTTGGTCGCTCGCACCGGACACGATGGTAAAGACACAAATCATAATCCTTGTGTTCCTCTTTTGCGGGAACAGCTGATCACTGTCACATACTGGCGCACAGGCCGGGGCTTTGCCAGCGAACGCTCTCATCTAATCATCTGTTTCTCCTTCATCATGTGTCATGCATCATTCAGAAGAGCTCACCTTACCCTCTGATTTTTTTTTCATCTGTCTACACCTTTTCTGTTTTTTGTTTTTTTTTATTTGACTTCCAGTCATCCAGTCTGGTGATTCTTTATACTTCCAGAACTCACTGTAAACATGGACACTGGATGACAGGATTTTGACTTGCTCACCAATTTTGAGATCAATTAAATCAACATGGGGGAAAGTCAGTGAAGGGGCTTAAGTGCCCAAGCTGCATGTTATCTTCAAATTGGGCTAGGGAGGTTATTTTTAACTACTGTTCACATACCGGGGCCCCCGTTTGCTAATCACTTTGTTCCCCTCTGTCATACCCATCTGCCCTGCTGCCAATGTCCCACTGCTTCTGGGGAGGTCACAACACACTTCACTTGGCAGGAGGAAATAATTTCCCTCAGGACAGCAGACAGGAGCTTTGAATGATGAACTCCAGAGCAGTTTCTTCAACAGCGGATAATATGGAATTCTATTGGTATAAATAAAGTGGCAGCTGACACCAGACCAGATCTTGCGCATGCACACGCACACGGAGTGACCCCCACCTCTTTTAGCAGGAAAGCTCCTGTAGGAGGTAGTGGTGGTGGTGGAAGGTGGGGGTGGGGGGTTAATAAATAACTTAATAACTTAACAACAAATAACTTAGAAGTAAGACTAAAACTGGGATTTGAGATTGTAAAATTGGCATCATGGCAACAGATAATAGCTTAAAGTGTCTAAAAAATTCACACACATTTTTTAATGTATTCTAAAGGCACACTAAAAGATTAGGAGCTGGCCTAGTTGAAAAAGCAATAGTGAGCTGCTTAATCCTGACAATGGTAAGACGGTACTGTGCTGCTGACTCATTACGTGGTCTGATATTAATGGCGCTCTCTGTCCTTCCCTGGGCACAGCAGTTGCCAGCATCGAGGTTGACACAGCTGCCAAAGGAAGCCCGGTCCGTGTGGCAAAGCAATGGAGCAGAAAGGTCAAAGGTCAGCAGCATTTATGCTGAAAGAGAGAACAGGTGATGGAGAGGTGAAGGAAACTCGCCCACATGATTCAAGGAGAGGACAGAAGGATTTAAACGGATGCTCTGAGGATGTGAGATTTAGGAGTGAGGAAATGCAGCAGTTGGTGACGTCAGCGTCTTTATTGTTTGGTGTTTGGTTAGAAAACAGCAAAGAGTTTTCATTTCATTTCACCAACACAGAGAAAAAAGCTTGTTATTAATGTGGCACCCTAAGTAATTCAATTCAAGTCAGTTTTATTTATATGGCACCAAATCACCACAACAGTTGCCTCGAGGTGCTTGGGACTAGGCTTCAGTCTGATACTGAAGCCATCCAAAGGTGCCAAAACAGGAAACACATCCCACACTTTTCTCACCAGCCCGACAGTTAGGACATGAAAGGGTTCTGGGTGTTACACTGGAGCCTGTGTCACCCTAGAAGGGCCTACTGCAGCAGTCAGAGGTGACACATGAGGTCTGATTTTGGACGATAGCAGGGGACAAATTAAGTACAATTTTATTAAACGATCATATTCACTGTGCTATTGTACCAAAGCATGGTAGGATGTTTTGTCAGCTCAATTACATAATGGCAATGACAGGCTGAAATGACTTCGCAGGCAAGCATATCTAACTGCTAATATTAAAAATCATAGCATCTATTAGTATTAGAAATTACTAAAATGACTTGTTGGAATGTTTCTGTAATGGTTAATCCACAAGTATGTGCCAGCTCTTTAATCAAATAATGTTTTGAGTGCTAAAATGTAACTATTGTTGTTATCCATGAATTTTCAAATTGACTATTTGACAAAATGTTTTTAGTTTTAGATTAAGATGCCAAATTATATTTATTTATTTTCATTTCTGAACAGAAAAAGCAGTTTTAGGGGTTTCTGAAAACCTGATTTCAGGTTTTAATCCTGCCTAATAAATAAAAATATGATTTTTTAAACAAGTTTTTGGTCTAATAAGTTTGTTAAACACTGTCTTTCAAATAATAACTGGATCACTTTGTGAATGTTTCTTGTCATAGAAACCAATACCTGAAGGCGATGTGACACCATACATCCTCCTGTGTATCGATATACAGTATGTGTGTATATAAATAGTAGTAAATCAGATGGAATTTTTACTAAATGCCTCACTGTAGAGGATAATAAAGGGTAATTATAAGGGAAGATATTAAACTGTTACTTGTTCAGGCTCATTATTTCCTCGTAAAATTTCTTAAACTGAACCATTTAGTTTGGATAAGGTTTAACAACTATGTTGTGTATGTAATAAATATTTAGTTTATTTTAATATTTATTTAAAACAACATATGCATTATTGTTGATAAAACAACCAAGTCTTTTACAGAAACAGAAATCATCAAGTGCATGAAACCATTAAAAAAAGGGACTTGATATAAAAATGATACAGCCTAAAAATTAAAAGAATAACAGGATAGTAATTAAAACCAGCAAGAGGGCAGCAAAAATATAACACATTTAGTTTAAAACCAATAAAATAAGCATACATTCAATAAATCAATCAATAATTGACACTCGTTTTAAACAGTGTAACTACGTGAAGATGCTGTGCACATTTCCATCACAGTTGGTCATGACAAAAGCTCAGTTTTTTCTCACATTAAGCATTCCTTTTCCACGTGATACTTTGCGGTGGCTACTGGCAAAAGAATGAGCAGCCTATGGACACCCAAGCACCCGTGGGGGTCGTGAGTAAGTCAGTTGTCAGCTGACTCCCACCAAAAGGGAACGACAACTGCAGGAGAGCCAGAAGCAAGGGAAGGAAGAGAAGCAAGAGAAGCAACAGCAGCAGTGGCACGGAGATGAAACAGAGATGAGTTTTATGGTGGTCAAAGAGTGCAGGATCAGCTGAATCAGCCGACCAGCTGAGAACACTTGAAGTGAGAGTCAGCAGTGACCATTACGGCAAGGCTGGGATGGTCAATTTGGTAAAGTGAATCCGTTGGGCATCTTTCTTTGCCTTTAGACAATAATTCTGATGGCAAAAGAGCCAAATGGGACAGGCAAAAAAAAAAGGAACGGGAAAAAAAAAAAAGAGAGAGAGTCAGCAGTGAGCATCGATGATGTCTGTTCTGTCCAAGTGTTGCGCTCTACCATCTGAAAACTGCTTTTCAGGCAGTTTGGTGTACTTCTCAGTGACTGCTCCTCAATACATCATCTGCAGAGATGCTGAGCGGACACAGGCAGAATTGGAAGGAGCCCTTTGTGGAAAAAAAAAATCCTTTAACATTAACATTTAACAAGTTATTTCATATTAAGGCAATAACAATTTCAAGATTAAAACAAACACTATTTTTTAACACTTCTGAGCAGTTTAGGTATATAAATGGTCACAACAAATTATTTTTATCATTCCAAATTGCAATTATGATAGTGTGGCTTAAAAAGAAATACAAGAACGACTGATGTTTTAAAAAAAGTTTAACATTAAAAAACTATTTTTCCTGGAAAAGACGCTGGTGTTGTGTAAATTTAATGCTGCTTATATTACACGGATAGTATCAAACTCGCAGTATCTCCATAACCAGACAGTTCAGCCATATAAACTCATTTGGGGGATGTAAGGTCCTAAAAGTATTTCAGGTTATCCTGTTGACTGCTGGAAC